AACAAGCTACTTCAAGGGGAAGATGTTTAAACAGGTACCATCTGCTTGTGTCATCATATATGGAACCTCTACTTTCACCAATTTAAGCAATAGGATAAATTAGGGGTAAAACATTTTTTTTTCTTGAAATCTCTGGTTTTCTGGATTTTAACAGATCATTTTATGCTTAAGTGCAACTTTGTAAAGTGAACACCCAGAAATTGTAGTGAATCTTCCAGTGGTAGCCCAACTTCTTGCCCAAAGCACAGACTGCTTCGATACCAATCTTGCTACCACCCCAGTGCAAAGCTCTGCTTTAATGAAGGCACTGTACTGAAACCCTCTTGTTAAATACCTCCCACATAGATAATATACACTGATGCTCGCAAAGGGTAGGTCCCAGATATGTGTAGGTCCAGGTTGTGTGAGTTTCTGGCAAAACAGCACTGGGAATCTACCTGCAGATCTAAACATTTGGGGGCAAATACTCTTCAAAAGAAAACACTCTTTTCCAAACCTGAAAACACACAAGGCTTCTACTCGATACACAAGGTGACTTCTGCACTGCTTTTACTTTGGGGAAGCATTTGGAAAAGGCAACAGGAAATATCTGATGGATGGACTTCAGAGAAACTGGTTTTTTTCTGCTGTACAATTCAGCATTACAGGGTCGCTGATACTTTTCCTCCACTTACAGCTGATCAGTTTTTGTAACTGTTACTGCTGAGTAGAGTAGCAGCTGGATGCCCTTCCTGGCTTCAGTAACCAACAAGTATTACAAAGCTCAAGCACACATTGTAATAACTTTTGGCTTCTTGCTCTTTGACCTGGTGGAGCTCAGCATGTATCTCCAAGAGGTAGGGAACAAGGATATGAAGAAAGGACAACAAGGAACAAACAAGAATAAATACAGGCTGCTTGAGCACTTTCAGCTGATGAACCCATGGAGGAGCAGTGGCTCCAGTCTCACTCTCCACATATGGAAGAGAAGAAGAAATATCACATTTCCCACCACGGAAATGAAAATTAAGAGGGGAGGCACTATTGATCTTCAGGACTGTCCTTCCTTGATTAACTTTTGACTAGAGTTAAAACAGGTAATCATTACTGTTCCACACACACGACTCTCTCTTTTCATTTTATAGTTTTGAACATTTTGAGCTATTGATAGTTATGTTTGGTTGACAGCTGCATGCTGAAAGAAATTCGCCATTTGTTTACAATGAATACACAAAATTTTAGACTACAGAAATGCTTTGATCCCACACCAGCAGGCAAAAACTGTATTTCACTCAGCTGACACAGTAACAACGCACTGGCATTTTTGCTTTATAGTAAACCAGGCAGCAATGAAAATCTAAGGCATGACAGAGCATTACATACCCACAGACATTGCCTTCAATGCCTAATTCCAAGGCAGAAGCCACAGCTGGGTAACAAAAGCACATCACTGCAACACACAACTGCCCCCGTGCAACCCTGGGTGTGAGCTAAGACCACGGCAGATGCTCTGCTGTCACATCGCCCTCATCACCAGCCACCCTGAAGCAGGAATTTGCATTCCTTCTTCCTACCTTTTGGGCTCCCAGCACACAACACCCACCAGCAAGTCCCTTCCACCATCGCTAGCAGGCTGCATTAAAACAGCCTGAGATTAAGCAGCATGCTTACGGTATTCTTGCAAAAAAAAGCTCTTTTATACTTATCAAAGATAAAGACCATTACATAAAAATCAACCCATTCTCAGAGGGTAGCTTAATTCTTCCTTGCTTTTGATGCTTGAGTTTTGCTGAATGAATAAAGCTTGTAAAAAGGGTGCTGAACAGCTACAAAAATGGTTGCAAGCACCCACTGAAATCACTGCTAACAATACACTTCATACTTCTTTAAAGGTATCTAGAAGCTGGTTTAATTAAATATGGAACAACTGCAGGAAACTGCTTATGAGTAATGAAAGCTCCAGATGTAGCTGGCCAGGGGATCCAGCCCAGAAGTGTTTTCAGTTGCAAAATAGCTCAATTCAAAATTGTTTCTTCCTGCCAAGCTGGCAATTCATATTCAATTACATGCAGGTACAGTGGCAACATTTTTTACTATAGTACAATGTCATTTCCTTTTCCAAATGGTATTGCTTATTACACTTATCTGACGGCATTTAATCAAAATACCTCTTAAACACCTGTTTCAAAGGATTATGGTTTCTTTTCCCACAGACACAAATTACAAAATCCTCACACTACTTAACTTAGGTCCAGCTCACTAAAGTCAAATACACAGCACCATTTCAGTCCTATGCATAGGTCAGAGACAAAGAAAAAATCCTAGATACATAAAACCAACACAACCTCATCCAGCAACTTTCAGTCATAGGTTTGAGGAGCTCGATCTTTTCTAAAGTGTCCAAAATCCACATAACTATTTAGCACAAGGGCTCTTAGAAAGGCAGTTAGCTGGGTGCCCATGTGTTAAAGACTCTTAAATGTGAAAAAAGTGATCAAGGACAAGTCACAGATACTTCGTTGCCTTTTGAGAAAATAATCTTCAAAGACGTATTAAAACACACCACTCCATTAACAGAGCAAAGACACATTAAAATTAATATTCTTTTTTGGTTAGAATGCAAGAATATTTGAAAAAAATCCTTGGAGAGTCTCTCAGATGCACTTAACCCGAAGACATTTGGATATAATAGGACTGCTGTATTCACACTAGCCAGCTTCTTCAACTGTTGCAAAACAATCTGACATACACAAACTATGGGAAACTTGGACTGAGAAGGGTAACTTTGCTCATATATTACATAAATCACGTTGTAATGTGGAAACAAAGCAACAGCGGAAAAAAATATTCTTTCACCAATTCCGTACTGTCTAATTGCATTAAACAGCAATATTCTTCATGAACTGAGCTGAAATCAAAACCAGGCCTGCCCCAGAGACAGCCAACATAGGTAGGATTAGACAAACTTACACATCAGGAGTGCCTCAGAACTTCACCTACCAATTTAAGCAAGCTGCCAGGTTGTTAAGGCAGAAATCTGCACAAATCCAATTTCCCTCTCACTTCTCCACCAAGCACACATTTTAATCAATAGACGGATGCTTAAGCATGGGGTTTTCTATTCTGACAAAGTAATTTTAAGGCTGGTGACCACTTCCCCGGTGTGTAGATTAAGCAAAGCCGCAAGTACCATAAAGTCATCTTGAAGAAGTATTGCCAAATCACCTCTTGACAAAGCACTTTGTCAAGCACGCTGCCACTTGTCTTGAGCATTGTTGGTTTTTTTAGTACCAATGTCAGACATTGTAGGACAGCCCCATATGATCCACACTAGTCATTAGGTAACAAGGGGAAAATAGGTACACTCAGCATGTGCTTTAAAACACGTTTTCTATTCAGAACCCTAGTGCTCCATCTTTAGGTCTTCGATCGAATCTGTATGCACAAAGGCATGATTCATAACTGCCAGCATCAAAATAATCATATTCTGTGTCTACATGTCACCAGCACACAAACAATCAGCTCTCAGCTCTGAACTTGGCATTTGCTCCAGCGCACCGGGCGCAAATCAGATGCTGTGCCAGGATATTTGTAAGACAACTGCTAACAGTACTCACTCTGACACTGCCCTGGAGCCCACAGAAGAGGGTTATTTCCTAGAAAGCCTCTTGAGCTGGGGAGCAGGATTGCAGTGTCAGATGCAGCCCCCCTCCGGGGCCCCTGCCTGCCCAGGAACCGGGCACCCACCAACCTTCCATAACCGACAGTGGGGAGACCAAGGAAAAAAAAGCTGGAGGAGAATGAAAGAGAAAAGAATAAAAGACTAGACAGAAAAGGAAAAGAGGCAGGGAGCTGAGTACTGGAGGAAAAAACAGTGGACTCTGAGCAGTTACATTTATGAACACAGCAAGTACCAAGATAAGGTTAAATGTAGAGACAAAAACTGAACTCAGTAAGCAGAAATGTTAATTTTCACATCTAGAAAGCACAGCAAGACCTGCACACACTGGATGGGTATGTACTACCTTTCAGAAAAGTTGTCCCAAATGTCAGTGATGGAGCACTCGTGTGCTCGGGGCAGGGTCCTCTACAGCCTTTCCGTGGCTGAAACACCCACACAGTCATTTATGAAAGCAAGTCACCTCTGAGCCGCAAGCTCCTGCTTTCTCTCTCAAGATGTAAACAGAAATACAGAACCAGGCAAAAATATGCATGTATACTTTAAGAGGCAACACTTAGTTAACGTAAGCCTACTGATAAAAGAATTACATGTAAACCAAAGGAAGCTTCTCTTGAGCTGAAAAATACTACATGCCGTACACATAAACGCTCATTTCGGAGGTTTGCGTTAACTGACCAAGAACCTGTTCATTTGCTTTTTCACGTGCCTATTAGAAAATGCAAAAATGCAACTGGCAATAGGGCCAGCTCTGCAACCCCGCTGCGGTTCCAGGCCTGAGTCAATTAAATGAAAACTGGGGAGTGTGCAAAAGGAAATGGTAAGAGATGGGGCAAGGCGGCAGTTTCAGTATCCTTGAGTTTTTAGCGGTTAATAAACTGCTTGCATTAGATTTCACTGCCTGTCACCTACTGGGCCTGAGAGAGCTGTGCAATAAAGAATAGCGCCTGTGCGGTTTCCATGTGGAAAAAACAAAGTAGCAGTAAAATAAACCCTTAGAAAGGTATCGGGCAGCGAAGTTCGGAGATGCTGGAGCGCCGGCCGCGGGCAGTGCCGGAGGGGCGCCGGGCAGGACGGGATCCGCAGCCGCAGCCCCTGGACGTGCGGCAAGACCCCGGCCGCGGGTGGCAGCCCGCACGGCGGGACCAGACCCGCACAACGGCACCTGCGCGGCGGCGCTAGCGCCTACAGGGAGCGGGGGACGCGACCCCGGGCGACCGCGTCTCGCTTCGCCCCAACTTCCCCGCGCCACCCGGGCAGCCCCCTCCGCACAAGCTCGGAGAAATGCCGTGAGACCGGTGCGGAGCCGACCACCTCCCTCAGCGCCCCCGCCCGCTCCTACCATCGCCTTGCCGTACTGGGCGCCGGGTCCGCGGCGCTGCGGGTGCACCCGCTGGTCTCCGCCGTGGTCTCGCTTCTCGCGGCCAGCGGCGCCGCCGCGCTGCTCCTCGCCGGCATCGAGAGAGGTGAAATTCCAGACAAGGAGGGTCTGCAGGAGCAGCACGGTGAGCGCCGCAACCAGCGCCGAGCGGGAGCGCCGCGCCAGCCGCCGGGCACACGGAGCGGCCACCATCTTCGCTGCTGCTGCTGCTGCTGCCGCCGCCGCGCTCCCGAGAGCCGCCGCATCCGCCGCGGCACGGAGTTTTCAGCCGGGCAGAGCCAGACGTCAGCAGGAGGAGGGCGGAGGTGGGGAAGGAGGGCGGGCAGGCGGAGGAGGTGTGCGCGGCGCGTGGGGATGGAGGAAGCCGGCAGGGAGCCCGGGCGGCACGGGGTTGGCGGAGGAAGAGGAAGGAGGTGGAGGGTGGGCTGGAGACGGAGGAGGAGCGGCAGCGGGGGCTGCTCTTGCCGCTGCCGGCGGGCGAGCGAGCCCCGATCCTGCGTGAAGGGAAGGGTCCGTGGCGGGGCGGAGCGGGGCGGGACGGCTGCGCGCCTCATGGCGGGCGGGAAAGCGCGGGAGGGGAGGGGAGGGGAGGGGGCGGCCAGCGCCGGGGCGCGCGGCGACTGCCATCTTCTGAGGGAACCGCGCGTGAGGCGGCGGGCGCGAGGCGGGCGGCGGCACCTGGCGGGCGGGAAAGCCGCCGGCTCGCACCCGGTTGCCGCCTGCCCCCGGGCCGTACCCTGCTGTATTTACCTGCTGTGCTAACCGGCTTGGAGCACGATCGCGCCCAGCTGACCCGCGGCCGTTTCGGCTGGGAGCATTAAAAATGGCCGCAGCAGAACGGCGGCGAGGCTCGCGCTCCTTCGCGAAAGGAAAATCTATCGATAAATCACCGAACGTCTACAGTTTGCCATCACGGCTGCACACAGTCATTCATTTCCCTGCCAGGTAGCAGCTGAGCAGCTTTTACTTCTGACTGGCTGTTAACTCCAACCCCTTTAAAGCAAGACCCAAGCATAACACTCTGAGGGGCCTGGGCCCATGTGGGTCCTGCCTTGGTGGAGCAGTTTGCTTGCCTGAAGCATCGGTCTGCCTTGACAGACCCTGTTTCTGCCATCTGAACAGCAGCCTCCATGTATACGCTGCCACAAACCATTTCATGCACAAAACTGGTCCAAATGCCCCAAGACAGACTTTTTCCCTGAAGCCAAAGCATTGGCAGCATTTGGCCTCACTGGAGGGAAAGCAAAGAGCAAGGTGCAATCTCCACAGCCCTGTGATGTTTGCGGGTACCAGGCACAGGTGCAACATGACTGTAATTAAATGCCCACTGTCTCAAAAGTGTACATAATGGATGGCTTCAGTGGCCTTTTTCTCCCATACTAGCATTGGCTTTCTAATCTGAAAGATCTCATTATCTGATGATAGTAATAAAGTAGGGAGTTGGGTTTTTTAATCTTCCTGCACGGTGCCTCTTTGTGTAAGCCTAATTCCACTTTACAAAGCAAATACAAAGGTAAAAAATAGTATCTTCTGATAAGAACAGCTGCTTTTCTAAATGATAGCCAAGTAGGATTTGCACAGACCAGGATTTTGTTTGCATTGGAAGTGCTTTAGTTTCTGATCTGGAAAACAATGAAGTAGCAAGATTTGGAGGCATCCTTTATTAAGGGAATGTTCCTCATGAGCCAGTGAGGCTACAAATAAAATTTCAGAGGATTTATCTTTTGTGGCAGTGTTACAGAAGGAGATGAAGTATGCTGCAGGTAGTGACAAGAAGCATTGTGCAAGTATTTAGGTTTATAGAGGAGGCTTGGGAAGTTGACTGCTAATTTTTATTCCAAAACATCAAGTAATGGGGCATTATAAATACACCCCAGAAGATCTGCTGACAAATAGTAAGTGCCTTCCCCTTCAAAAGGAAGTTGTGGTCTTAGCATGTGGTTGTCCCATGTAACCTGCCCCTGGGCTTTTAGAGAGCAGGAGGTGCTAAAGGAGCCAGAAAAAAATGGACTTTGAACAGGCCAAATCACCAAGAGCTCTGAAAAGCTACAGACCTCAGGGCCTGACTGATCCTGCGACCCTCATTGTGAAATGGGAGACACATATGAATGGACACCCTAAAACTGGCAAAAAGCCCTGAAAGTAACATCCAAGATGGGCAATGTTTCAGCACAGGACAACACTGCTGTCTATAAAAGGGGCACAGCAGAAATTATGATCAAATTGTGATCCATGTTCCTTAGAATTTTTATGACCTATTGGAAAATTTCCTACACATATTCAGGAGGAAATTTTTATACTGGAAAATGTCTGAGGATTTTCCTAATCTCTGTATATAATTACTGTGACTGATAAGGCAGTGAGGAATAGCAGTGCATACTTAGTCTCCCGTGTGTCCTACTGAAAGCATGTCTGGAGTGAAAATTTGTATCCAAACCACAATAATTTATAGGCCATAAAAATCTGCGTCTTCAGTGTAAAGTCAGCCCTATGTATGGGTGGGAGCCTCTGCATGAGACGCTTCTGCAGTGAGAGAAAAAGCAGAGCTGGGAGAGGAGCAGGCTTCCTCTCTGACAACATCCTCCTTTCCTTGTATTTATAGAGATTATGTAAAATCTGGAGAGTGCAGTAGGTATGGTATTCATTTTTAAAACCGTGCTACGACCAATGACTGCAAACTGCTCAAAACATCCTTCTTCTGTTGCTACAGAAAACTGCCAAATAGAAGTAAGAAGGAGGATAATTTAACTAATTGTTTTCTTCTGTGCTGATTCAAACTGGAAAGTAAAAAGGACAAGGCTGAGCTTGAGAATTTGAAGATGGGGGAAAAAAATCACAAAAAATGAAAACAACTGTTCAAATCCTAAGAACAAACTAAAATCAGAAATTACAAAAAAGTTAAAAACATAAACTTTACTGACTATCACATTCATGAATAACGGCAACTCAAGTGAGCTATGTAGCATCAGAAAATATTTAATCTGGTTACACAGAGGACATTTGAGAGAGTTACCACTGAAAATTCCTTATGTTGCCCACATTACATGAGTCAATTAGTATCTAGCACAAAGTATGCAAGAGAAAAAAACAAATTTGATTGTTAATAGACAGTATTATTATTGAACTAAACTGTCAAAGAGATGCTAGGTAACTAGTGTGACATGGCTAATTTGCTCTAAAATCCTAACAGATGATTGGCTGAAATATTTTTTACCTCTGCACAGGTATGTAATTTCAGCCTGGGTGTGTTTGAGAGGCAGTGGGTATCAATCTGACTTACTTAGAATGATGTAAAAAAAAGAACAGTCCTCCGTTCCAGTAAAAATTTTACTGATCCACTTTGCTAGGTTTACCTGTTATAAAAATACATTTCCTCCCCCTTGCAGTGTAGAAATAAGTAGTCTAAAACTGCATCAAGTTACCAAACTTCGTACAAAGAAATAGGTGAAGTTGAGAGCAATGTTAATAAGCAATATCTTTTCCTCTACTTTGAAGAGCTTAGTCCATCTGGTGAGCAAACACTACAAGCTTATCAGAACTCCAACTAACAGGCTGACTCAGAGGCGGTTAAGAAGCACATTCTGTAGTCAGTGAAAGACTAAGCTATTTCAGAGGGAAGATTTGTGCCATGCCAGTCTGTCTCCCCATCCATTGGGACAGCTACATGCCATGAGGCTCACTCTGAACCCAACAACCCACTCCACAGCCCTGTCACCATTAAGATCACCGGGCCTTCCCACTCCCCAGCTCTGGCACGGCAGATCTCACCCAAGGCCTTCCTGGCCAACAGCAGCCCAGACCCTTGTGTGAAAGGGACTGTACTGAACACAGAAAGAGGAGCAGAAAGAAGCTGCTTGCAGAAGGAGGACGACCAGGTTCTGGGGAATGATAAGAAAGGAAGAGAAGGTGGAAGTGAGGAGTTAGCAGTTGAGCTACGAGAAGCCAAATGTGCCCCTGCCTCTCTCATACCAGATGCTCTGAAGAGGGACCTTGTCCTGCAGTGCTCAGATGAGTGCTCAAACAAGAGGTCATGCACCTTTTCCGTGAGCTCCCTCAACAAAACGTACACTGCTAGGATCCCTGGCTCCAAGGCCAATGCCATTGCCAGCTCCCACAGCTCCAGCTGGGCACCTCCCACAGTTGATGAACAGAAGTGGTGTGAGTGTGTCCCCAGCCCAGCATTCTCCTGCTTCCAGATGCCAGAGTGGCCTCTCAAGAACGCCAAGGAAGAGCAACTGCAGCATTTTAATACTTCCACTCCAGTAAAACTGGACAAGGAGCTGCAGACAGATAATGCAGTGGAGACATCAGCGCAGAAGCAGCAGATTTCCCCAAGCCCAGCATATGATGATGGTGCACTAAAACATTGGTGTGTTACCAGCATCATTCTCAGACTAAAGCCAAAACAGAGCACTGCACCAGCTACTAGGAAGAAAAATAACTGTTACAGCTGGAACCAGGACCCAGACATGTCCCTATCACATCAAAATTTAGATTTCAGATGTGTTATCAGGGTGAAGAAGGAATAATACGCATTGGGAATGAACTGATTTGTCTAAGGATGGGTGTCTTTGTTGTACTCAAAAGAAAATCTGTGAAGAATCCAGAACAATTAGCATATTTGTGTATATTCCTATGATTTTAAAAAACCACAGCACTTAAGGAATGTACCTCAGAAACCAGGCCACAAGCATGAGCAGTGTTTTAGGAGTAATCTGTAGTAGTATTAGAAGTACCTTCATGAGGTTTGCGCTTCTCTCCTAAAGTGGCAAAATCTGTTTCTTCTTTTCCTTCTATCAGCAGCCAGAACAACATATGACACCTCATAATTTTGGAGAAGCATTGTGCATATGGAGGACAAACACCAGCCTTGGTGGTCTACATGTCAAATCTGAAAGAGCAAAACCAGTTAGAGAATTACTCTTTGAGAATTTCACCATCTTAGACTTAGTGTCTGCTCTGCAAAAAGCTCCCAGATCGCTGATTCTTGTTTTTAAACACTGGTGCATTGCTGTAATTTAAAGGTACAGAAAAATGTATCTTGATTTTTTTTTTTTTTTCTGAACCATAGCTCCATCATTAATTTATTCTTTTCTCCAGTTCAGTCATTTTATGATTTACATATATATACATTCTTCACCATGCAGGTATACAGTACCATGAATATTCACTATTCCATCTCTTCTTTTCATAACCAAACCCCAAGATTCCTTGTTATGTACTCATTTTTATATGTAGCTAGTCTCCAAGTGAGTTATAAAAGCCAGGTTCTCACTTAGCATGCACTGGCAGAACTAAAGTCAACAGAGGTGTAACCACTGTGTGCAAGAAATGCTTTTAGTTCTGGTGGTTTTATAAAATTTGAAATTCCAGCAAGCCATTC